CCCTCTCAAAGAGCCAATCAGAAGCTGTTCACACAATGAACCTCTCCAGAACAAGTCTCTCTCTCTCCCACCCTTTCTCTTCTGATTTCTGATCCAACAAAACGGCCAGGACCCTGTTCCAGCCTTTTATATCAAACCCTAGGCTCCGCTAAACCATCACACAAACCGTGCGATCAAACCCGACTTCCCGGTCTGATTAAARATTTGCGTCGCTCGACGCATCACCAAAAAAAAACACATTTTTGGTTCACGGGCGTTACAATCGCAGTCTTCAATCTTGAGCTCGATTACTAACGGATTGTTGTGGGGTATTGCGACATTCTTAGTGTCGGCCTCACTGAAGATAATCGGCATGTCAACCTCTGCCCGTATGCGATAATCTAGTTGTTGCAAGGCCTGCTTTTCGTGTTTCTTGAGAGATCGCACTGAATCAGAAGTAGTGCGGAAGCCACCCATAATCATGTAGATCTTTCTTTTTGAGGAAGGTTGGCCCTGCCCTTTGTCGTCGTTAGACCGCTTCGGAGGGAGTGGCAGAGCGACGTTGTTATCAGGTCGTTGCTCATGTTGCCCCTGGCCTTCTTCAGACCGCCGTTACGGTAGATCGAATGACCTCGCCGCTGCTAAATTTAGCCATTAACTGGTCTTTCTGCTGCCGACATTGGTAGGTCCAGTGACCGTAAATTTGGTCGTAGTCACAGAACGATCTAGTGTCCTCCTTGGGGTCTTCTCCGCGAGCAAACTTGAACGACCATTTTTTATTCAGAGACTGGGTTTGAGCCTGAGATTGGGTCGGGTATGCTTTCTTCCTACGAGATTGGTGGTGAACTTCTTCTTATTGTCTTTGTAGTCTTGATCGAGATGTTGTCGGGGTTCAACGTAATCATCATCCGCGGGCTCTTTTGTCTTGACCTTAGGTGTCGGTGGCTTGGCGAGAGAATGTTTTTTAAAGTTGGTCACGCAGTCATCTTCGAGTGTTATGTATCGAGTTGCCCGATGCATTCCATCTTCCAATGCGAGGGCCTTCTTTAAGACTAGGTCGGTCCTAAACAAAGACTCATGCCACAACCCGTTTTGCAAAGCTCTGATAGCAGATGTTTCGTGGATGTCCATTTCTGCCAGCACGG